TTCTTGTTTGTTTATGTATGTTTGTGTTTGCTGTAAAAAAATAAAAAACTTAAAAAAAAAAAGAAATGTGACACTTACTATTCTAAGAATCAAACTAGACATTTCCAAAGACTACAGGCAGGGTAGAAAGCTGAAGTCCTCCCTGATTGCTTTCTTCTCTAGGCAGGTGCCTAGTTTTCGTGCACAAGAGGAAGATTATACCCTCTGATATACTGCCACTCAACAATAACAGGTCTGTTGCCAAACGCTGATTCTGACTCCAAACACTGGAGTTATCTATAAAATGTTCTCTCTCTAGTTCTGTGCTAATAATAAATATTATAGTGACAGTTTCCTCTTTGATTTGTAATATTTATTTAGAACACCTAGCCTGTGCTGTTAGACACGATTATAATATCTCTGAGTTTTATTGTAATTCTTTAGAATACAAAATAGTATCATATGCCGAATATTAGTTCTCTGCATTTCATGCTTTGATTACAGCCCTGAGGCATTTGATAAACTATTCTGCAAAATAACAGGATAGACAATTAATTGGCCCAAGTTGTAATTGATGCCACTCCCTTCATCACCATATTGAGTAATCATTAATTTCAACTCTGTAATGAATGTAACAACTATCTTGGGGTTCTTATCCCATGTGATACACTACAAATAAACACCTTAAAGATTAATAAATTACCTATCTAAGGAGATGACTTTGGATTTCAGTAGATAGCAGTCATTAAATCTTACCCTTTGGGGTGAGGTTAACACTGTTTCCTTGAATATAATATGTTCAGGAATTTCAAAAACTGTATATCTGCAACATATTTTCAATAATTTAATGTAATATTTTGTCAACTTTTGTGGGAACCTTAAATTCTGGGATAACTTTAAAAAAATGAGTTGTCAATTATAAAAGGGGTGGTGGAGTTTTTCTAGTTCTTCAATTATACTATTTTACATATCTTTGAGCTAGTTCAAAATATTGGACGACTCCCCTTAGTGGAAACTCTCCTATTTCTGCTCCCCTAGAATAGTCTTATATATTACATTTCGAGTTTGTTGGACTGTCTTGGGATCAAAATACTGTATAATAGATCTCAAATAGTTCTTTTTATTATTACATCAATTTAAAGGCTATGGTACTTTGCTTATAGGAAATGGCATTTGGATCCTTTTTCTCACAGTAAGTTCATGCCATGGGGTAATCCAGATCTCACAATTAATTTAAAAAAATATCATGGAAAAGCTGTGCGGAACTCAGAATTTATACTTTGAATCAATTAGTAGATGAAAATGATTATTTTTCATTGTTTTCTTCTTTAAAGCACAAATATCTGCCTAGTACTGCTCAATGACAATATTTACAAATGCAACATGTACTAATAACTAATTTGGACCTAGGACGTTTTTAGGCTCAGAAACACCTAATTTGCAAATGAGCATTACATCTTATAACAACAACAACAAAAAAGCCTATAATTACTCCTTATAAAATTCCGTTGGTGATCAGTCAATTAAATATGCAAACTTTTGGATAAATGGAATAAAAAAATGAGGTTCCTATGTAGCCTAGACAATGGAAAGAGGTTATACACATCAATACCAAAAACTTCAAAAAATCTTACATCTTATTTAATAAAAATAAAATTTCAGACTTATTGGGAGTCCACTGCACTTACAGTCTTACTGAAGTCTTACAGAAAAGTCTTCAGTAATCGTCATGTCGCTGGAGATGCAATGAAATTAATGTTTCATTTAAATAAGTTTGTAATGTGCCCTGTAATTGTTCCATTCTGGGGGTAAGTTGTTATGTGTATTAACTCAACTTTGAGACAAGATTTAAGATTCTCAGGTGTTCATTTTCCTTTCAGCTATATTCATGGAAACTGATATCTGGATAAAGGAAGTGGATTCTCCATGCCCTATGTACACCTAAAAAACATACCCTGGAAGGACAAACATAGCCTCTCAAAAGCTCTATAGTCTACAGAGTTGATATTAGCAATACACAAACAGATTACTTATAGATGAAAACAATGAAATATGGTTACCGTGTGTGCACGTATATGTATGGATGCCCGTGCGCACACACATATATGAGTGCATATACAGGATGTACCAAAAGTCAGGCCCCAGAGGCCAATCACAATATTTATTTCCCCCAGATAAAATATTACTGTACTGTACTTAGGAAAGTTCAAAGGTCATGTGACAAATGAGTAAGGATGTGTTTAGAAGAAAGTGGCAACCAATTCAAACATGTAATGTAATTTATAAAATAAATTGTCTGTGGGACCTGACTTTTGGTACACCATGTATGTACATACTGTATGTATGTATGTGTATGTGTGTGCGTGTATATGCTTTTCTTTTTCTTGTATATTTTTATTTTATTTTTCTTATTTTTCTTTATAACTTTATTGTTTATTTTTCTTTTGTATTCAATTAATTAAAAACATTATACAAAGAAGTTATGTAAATAAAGCTTGTGCTGCTATTCTGTCCACGTAGGATCTAATCACCTGCCATCTTTACTGAAAACTTAATCCTTCCCTGGTTTACGTATGGTGAAACTTGCTGGATGTTTTGCCTCTTTGTTGATGAGACATAGGGTGGACAAACCCCCTTTTTTCCTTTCTCTATGAACTGGATTTGCAAAGCTAGGCAATAACAAAAGGCAATCCCTTTATAAATAGATTTAGTTTGATGTCTTAAAAAGGAGATTAATGAAACTTCAACTGAACCACCTACAGAACGTCTTTCCAAAATGCGTCTTCTTTCAAAAGGGTTTTATAAGCAAAACAAATGCTGACATGGTCTGCTTAAAGCCTGGTGCACCCTTTCCTAATCTGTGCCCTCACAATGTGTTGGCTGGGAATGACAGAGTTGTATTCCAACATCCTGGGAAGGCACAAGTTCAGGAGATGTTGCACCTATGAATCCTGATTCAAAGGTTTTGCACCATTCTATATTTCTTCAGAAAATTTCCTGCCTTGGCCTTTAAGCAAACAACTTACCTGCTGGAGTGGTGGGAAGATCTGGGCCAGCAGCAGGTGGCTCCATAGGCCCAGGATAGGGAGGAGGTGGAAGCTGCATGTACCCCATAGCACCATCCATTGGTGGACCAGGATACAATTCTAGGACAATGGAAAAAGACAGAGTAAAACACTGCAAAAACAATGAGTGGAGTCAAAACACAGTATCGCTGAAATGCCTGCCCTCAAGCTGACTGTTTTAGCTTTTTAAAGTGCCCAATTTATTAAAAAAACGAAGAGATGAGGAATTTAGAAACTGGTATTTTACATCATAATATGGCTCATGTCACATTCAGAGCTATTTCAGACCTATTTCTGACCATGCTAACTGCCTCCAGCTAATCCAGATTGGCTCCCCTGTGATTATATGGCATCTGAAATCTTAAATCAACCTATGAAGGCTATTGAGAAGTATTGGGACAAGGATGAATTGTCAACCATGTCTTACTCAGTAGAAACTCTGTAATTACTAAAAGTAAGTGCTTTCAGGCAAAACAAACCTTGCTTACACTTAACAAGGGAGTTGCCTATTTGGGTGATAACTGAAAGTAGGCAAAAATCAGGATGAAAAAGTGAGTTACTTGGTTTCCCTACCATATTTCTAAATGAAACATTAATTAAAAGTTTCCTTTTTTTACTTTCAAAACTCACCAGGAGGTGGTGGTGGGTAGGGGTATCCTGAAGGAGGAGGAGGAGGATACATCCCATTGGTAGCAAGTGGTGGAAAGGCATAGCCCCCATTTGGCATGTATGAGTAACCGTAGGCTCCATTTGGAACTTCTCCTCTTGAAGCTAGAAAACAAAGATAAGTAAGCTAATTCAACCAAGTCTACAGGAACTGTTTCAAGAACACAGCAGTCAGAACCCACTTCTACAAGACAATAAGTTTGGCACATGTGAAGCTCACTGAGATCACAATACCAACTAAATTAACAACTAGCAATATTAATAATTACAGGTCTTGCAATCTCCTGTAACGCTCCTGTAATTGTGCTATATTCTTTAGTTCTGTCACTTCCTTTTCAGTGTTAGCAACAGAATTTGCAGAGCCTGTGCAGTAGCACAAAATGAAGCCTACAGCAGTGCAACACACTTCTGGCCTTATGTTTAAAGGCCCTACCTTATCAGCTGGAAATTGAGTAGAAATGCAGAGACACAGAGCAAGCAGAACTGCCTAAGTCCAGCATTGAACAAGTAAGTGGAGGAAAACAAAGAACACTACAGAATGAAAGTGTGCAGCATCCCATGAAAGTCAGCTTGGTACTAGAAAGAGTCCAGAGGCAGCAGGAGGGGCCAGTGGAAAGGATGTGGTTGATTGGAAAGGTGAGTGAGAAGAAAGCCTATAATGCAAAGAAAGGAGCTCAGAAAACATAGAAGTGCCAACTGATAATCCACTGATTTATGCAACAACAAATATTAACAGCACACAGAGGACTTCTGTTGCAAGTGCTAAGCCAAGAGTGAATGCATTTACTAGGTCTCTCATGATAAAAAGGGAACTCTACTCATTGTCACTCATGCCCTAGTCACCTCCTGTTTGGATTTCTGTAATGGGGCTGCCCCTGAAGAGTATCTGGAAGCTTCAGCTGGTACAAAATGCAGCGGTATGGGCAGTTATGCGTGTTGGTCACACAAATTTGATCTGTAAAGCCCTCCACAGCATAGGGCCAGGTTATCTTAGGGACCGCCTCTCCCCAAGTACATCTGCCTGTCCCATCAGGTCTGGCAGAAAAGGCATGCTGCGGGTCCCGTTTGCCAGGGAATTACATTTGCTGGGTCCCAGGAGGCAGGCCTTCTCTGCCATGGCGCCCGCCTTGTGGAATCTTCTTCCCCTAGAAGTGAGATTAGCTCCATCCCTCTTAACTTTCCACAAGTCCCTCAAGACCGGCTATGTGATCAGGCCTGGGGGCCCCAGGGGATCAGGGAGATTTTGCGATGGCTCCCTTATTCATTTTATCCCTTCCTGTTTCGTGTGCTTTTATAGTTATTTTTACTTCTGATTGTTTTTTATGTATTTATTCTTTTTAATTATTGTACACCGCCCAGAGTCAATTTTATGTGAGATGGGTAGCTATATAAATACGATATATAAAATAAACTAAACAAAAAGCGTGATCTTGAGATGAGGAATACCAAAATAAGCATTTATTTCATAATTAGTTTTATGCTTAACTGCCTCAACTGTTGTTAAGTAATCCAAGTATACTAAGTAGAAACATATTTCCAATCTTTCATCAGTCCTCCCTCATCAGCAGAACTGCTTCTGTTATAAATACCTTGAGATGCTACTTGCAACATACGCTGTCCAAATTCAATGGCACCTCCAGCCGAGAATGTCATTTTGAATGTTGCAGATCCTTCCCAACCACCTAGTAAGATAAGATAGGTGGAAAAAGTAAAATGATATTGTCTATTATCACATTATCTTATAAGGCTCCTGAGATCCAGAGAGCTCTCCCCACTTTCCATTAAGTTTCATCCTAAGGCTTTAGAGTCATGTATGAAAGCAACTTTGGAAAATGAGGGTATTATTATTATTATTATTAGTAGTAGTAGTAGTAGCAGTAGTAGTAGTAGTATTTTATCCCACCTTTGTTTTATATAATATATAACTTAAGGTGGTGAGCCTACCTAACACTCCTGCCTTTTCCCCACAACAATCCAGGGGGGTGGATTAGGCTGAGAGAGAGTGACTGGCCCAAAGTCACCCAGCCAGCTTTCATACTCAGTCTCCTGCTTTCTAGGCCAATACCTTAACCACTACACCAAACTGGTTCTCTACTAGTTGCTACTTTTAAGAACAGACACATGCTTTCAGACTGTGGAACCAAGAATAACTATTTTTTATTTAGATAATATAGTCTGAACTCTAGCTAGTTTGAATAATCTGTGAATGTCCTGTCTCTACAAACAAATATAAAGAACTGGTTACTATATAATGGCAGAGAAAATTGGGTGAAGTGTTTTTTCCATAATGGTTGAGCAAAATACTGCTCAGAGTACCAAAGTGAAATTGAGTACTGCATATACAATGTGGAGTGATGGTAATGTTACAGGGAGATGGATTTAAACAACAACAAAAAAGATCTGTGTCTTCAAAGGCCAAGAAATAAAAGAACAAACATAATTTGCAAACAACAACATCACATAGATTAAATTTGTTCTGAGCCAGCCAGGGCAAATCTGATTTGTTAAAACATCTTCACAACTATTCTTCAGATTGCTATAAGTCAATCTAGAATGGCAACCATATGAAGTGAAATTAAATAAGAAATATGATTTTAACTGGGCTAAAAAAATTATATGGATCATAATAAGAATAACAATTTACAGCTTCAGGATTGGAAACAGACCACAAACATATCATCAGTGTGGCTGTAGTCCTTTAAATTTGGGGGTTTTCAGAAAGTAAGGAGGGTATGTTTTGGCCCCTGACCCCCAGACATCATCCATCACATAAGAACCATGTAAAAGTGTTGACTTCAATCCCCTATATGTAGAAAGCAATGTGATGCCCATGGAGATCAATGTACATATACCTTTGGAATTTGCCAGGCTTCCAATCATACCTGATGTATTTTTCAATTAAAAGAAATTAAATGGGAAGTCAACATACTGAAAATCAAAACATCAGCCTCTACTGTTAACTTTATTAACCACAGTGTCTCTGCATTCCATATATAAAGTGGTAGTACCTGAGGCCAAGTGCTGTTTTTGGAAGTCTGCCTACTTACCCAGAAAAAAGGCAAAAGTATGTTGGGGTGATAAGGAATATCCTGAGGGTCAAGCTATAATTAATTACTTTGCCTTCTGGTAAATGGATGTTTGTGAGTAGCCACAACCACATGGACAACCTGTTTTGAATAGCCACATCTTTTCCACTGTAGCCATTTTCTGAGAGCATGGCACCTACCACATGTTCTCAAAATTCCAAATGTGCTCATTAGCCCCAAATCTTTGCCCATCCCTGATGAATGCCACCCAACACAATCCCATACACAACCCTGGAAGTAAAAGCAAGATAAAGATATGATCAGCATGACCAGACACTTCAAAAGACCTCTTATCTCCCATCTAGACCTGCATCAGCAGATTGGACATTTGAAGCAGACTGACACTGAACATCACTCAGAAGTAAGGCTCAGCTCTCTTTTAATACAATATAAAATGGCATAAATGGACATTGTGATAGTCCATTCTTCTGCTAAGACATACTTCATGAAATATAGCAGCAAAAAACTGCTTAAGAGCTTTCAAGTAAATTAGATATGAAGCCTGCAATGAAGTACAGCTGCATAGCCAGAAGACATCAAACAGCAATCAAGATAAGAATCCTACTATAGATTAATGACCTCTCTGGGATCTCTAGGACCCAGAATGCTGTTTGTCATAAGCCATTTTATCTAAGCGGATGAAGTTCAGTGGCTGATTTAGCTTTACTATCAGAAATACAGGAGATGAGATCCATTTTTTGTGACATCTTGCTTCATTATACTTAATGAAAATAGATAATGAGCGTGGTCCATGTTTTCCTTAGAGTTTTGGTCTAAACAAATATTGTAGATATTTCCATACCTGGCATTATGATTTTTTTCTGATACTTCTAGTTGAGCTCAACTGTTTGCAAAGAAGGGGGGGAGCCATTCATGCAAGGGAAATCCAATCTCAATTAAGATAAATAAAAACATTAAAAATTCAAAATTAAAATGAATAAAAAATTTGAAATACAAAACATGAATGCATATTTTGTACTCATGCAAACAATGAGTACTGGAGTTTTCACAAAAATATATATAGTACTGTGCAAAAGTGTTAGGCAGGTGTGAAAAAATGCTGTA